ATCATATCGCTAGACGTATCAGACCACAGCACGCTAGATAATTATATATGACACCCCCTCCTACAATGCGTCTGGTTACTCTATAATACTGAGCATCCAGACACTCCTGTAAGCGGTAAATTATATCAAACATTAAATATATGTGTATTAAAGAAAATGTACTTAAACAAAGAGCTTACACTTCAACTCCCTGTTTATTACACATTTGTTCTACCATTACCAGGGCACCAAAACTAGTCTCTATTATGGAATTCCTTTTTCTGGTCTCCTACAGCGGCTGCTATGACATGAAATGACTAGATTTAAATGGTTTTTTTTTTTTTTCTCAAACATCTTATAATTCTAAACATATAGTTCTGACTTAATTCCCTACATCATTTTATTTACAAAAATACATTCCTATATAGATATATTCCATCTGTGAGCATTTGCTTGTCAAGGACATCGTCCACTTTTTCCTCTAGAAACGTAATCTTTTGACTATTCAAGGCCCAAACCTTATACAGTCAAACCTGCTTTAGAGACCACCTGTATAGAAAAACCACCTGTCTACAAAGACCACATTTTTTTGTTTCCCTAGAAATTAGTTTCTTATTGAAACATGTACTAAAGGTACATTTTCATTAGGACCACTCGCCTATAAAGACCACTTTTCTTGTCTCGATCACTTGGGTAGTCTTTATAGACAGGTTTCACTGTATAAATAAAAGTTTAAGCATAATTTTCTACTCCCTAGATTCGAGGAGCAATACATTAAAGAAATCAGACATAAAATGATTACTATAATATTAATAATTCCAGTGAAAAATGCTAAGAAAATAACAAGTAAAGCAACTTTATGCAAAATAAATATGAATCAAATCTGGGTCGCTGCCGGCAACGATAAACCAAAATGTGGCAAACAATAAATAAAGGAAGAAACCAGGACAGGTGTCCAATATTGCAATATTATGATAATGATAATAATAATAATACACAGAATTTAGTGGGCGCTTAATACGGTTGTTTCTAAGCGCACCATTTTCTGTCGACAAATTACCAACCGAAGCTTATAATGAACACACGAATTATAAATCTGTTCTTTTCTCAATAAATCATGCATATAATAATACAAATAAGATCAAATATAAGCTCTAAACCCGGGGATCAAACATAAAAGGCTGAATACTCTCAATCCTAATCAATTAACTATTAGTGTTAAAATAAAACATACATGGTATGCAGGCGCGCCGGAAGCAGTTTGGGATTAGGGGGGCAAACGTTCCAGGGGTTCACCTTCCAGGGGCAATGGCGTAATGAACAAAAACGTTTGGAAGCCCCGGCAGGGGGTGAAGGGGCTTAACCCCCGGAAGATCAGGGTTTTTAGGCATTTAATTACGTTCAGACGAGCATATTTGTATACCTCATTTGTGACATTGGCAAGTCACTTATTTTTTCTCTCTTTTTTTCTTTCTTTTCCTCTGTAACATACTTTTTCAAAAAGTGAGGGGGGCTCGAGCCCCCTAGCCCAGGCGTTTCTGCAGGCCCTGACATGAAGGCTTCTAAATAGGCTTATTGTTTGCCTGACTGTAATTTGGGAATTTCTAATTTTCCAACAAACGCATAAAAAGGTTTATGACTTAAAAAAAATTGAGAAAAAAATACAGGAAAAACATGTCATTTCAGCAACATTTGTAAATCACTGGTATCGAATAAGAAATACCCCCCCTCCCCATCAGTACGCCAGCGTTCAGGGGCTCATGTCTTCTTACCCCTATAACAAAAAACACACGCGCTAGTCCCACCCTCTCACATAATTATGTCCACGATGTGCCCGTATTGCTATTATAAAAACCTCCATTGATGAATATAGGTCGCATGCGCAATGTTTAGGAAATTGAATTCCTGTTAACTTTCCTTTTCTTTAAATGGAATGTTATATGTGATTTAATTCCGGTTTTTACTATTGTTATGTTCTTTTGGGTTGAAAATACAAACCATTTGTACTCCTTTTCTGCATTTTTTTTTGAGGGGGGGGGGGGGCGTTTTGGGGGGCAAAAATGCGTTTTGCCCCCCCCCCCCCCCACTTTTTTGTTTGGGGGGGGGGGCAAGTGCCCCCTGCCCCCCCCCCCCACTTCCGGCGCCTATGATGGTATGGGTGCTAGGTGATATCAATTCCATATTTCATACACTGCGTTAAACAAAATTGCTTTTGATGATTAACTTACTCTGTTCACATAATATATATTTTATATGTATTGTATTTTGTAGGTTTATTTGCACTTTTTGTTTTGCCATATGTAATTGTTTATCATTGTATTTTGTTTTTAATAGCGCTTAGAGACTTCGGTAGTAAGTGCTTTATAAGCACCGTTTTTTGTTATTATTATTATGTATTGGTTTTTGATTGGTTGAGAGCTCTTCACATGATCAGAAATATTTAACCGTCTATATTAAGGCTGTTTGAAAAGTATTATATTGGAGTTGGAAATATCAAATTTTTTAAATTATAGTCGTATAGTCGTATAGTTGTACGAATATTGGCAGGTAAAACCACTGAACGGAAATATCCCAGTTTTGTATATATTTTTTTAATTGGCATTTCAGTATGCCCATAGGCCTGTGTGGGTACAATCCGTTATAAATGGTTGTTCTTATTCAGCCAATTTAAAGAGCCCATAGGCCTACCTATAGGCGCCGGAAGTGTGTGTGTGTGTGTGGGGGGGGGGGCAAAACGCATTTTTGCAACCAAAAACGCCCCCCCCCCCCCCTCCAAAAAAAGAAAGAAGAAAAGGAGTAAAGATGGTTTGTATTTTTAACCCAAAAGAACATAACAATGATAAAAAACTGAAATAAATCACATATAAATTTCCATTCAAAGAAAAGGAAACTTAACAAGAATTAAATTTCCTAAACATTACGCATGCCACCTAGATTTATATTTATCATATTTTTTCTCAATTTTTCTGTAAGGCATACCTTTTTTATGGATTCGTTGGAAAATTAGAAATTCCCAAATTTACAGTCGGACAAAAAATATGCTTATTTAGAAGCCCCTGGAAGGTGAGCCCCTGGAATGTTAATTTGCCCCCCCCCCCCCAATCCCAAACTGCTTCCTGGGCCTACATATTATGACTTTCCCAAATTGTCCAATTTTATTCGAACGTTCACCTTTTAAAATAAAAATGATTTTTCTGCTTTCCTCTATTTAGGTGAAGTCAGGGAGATGACAACAATCAAGGTGAAACCAAGGTTGGACTTACATGTTTACCCCTAATTTTACCACCTCGGAAATTAAACAAGTGACTTTGAGGAAGACTAAGTTTTTGGTAGCTAGCTGATATTGATCTGAAAGCGCGCTACGCATACCGTACCGGTACGTAGTACATAGGTACAACGTGTTACGTATTACGAGTGTCAAGACGTCGCGTGGATCTTGCGTTAAAATTATGCATTTTTTTGGCATGTTACGCACAGTTTTTGGAAACATTGCGTTTATCCGAAAATTTATAAACTGTATTGTACGACGTTTATGCCGAAGATTTATTGACACAATGGCATCTGGAGAGATTGACACGGACAGTATGAAAGTTCTTGAGAAAGTGGAAGGATTTGAAGAGCGACGTAATACGCTGTTGTTAGGTCCCCGGAAGTTTCCGGTCGGAGGCTCGAACGTACCTGCTGAGACCGTGGTGTTTTTTCCTGGTGATGTACAGGTACGTATTGTGTGCACGTGGCGTGGGCTGGCGCTGCACTGGCCATTAGCTTTTTTAGGAAATTGAAATCGACTCGATTTGAGAGCAAGGCATCGTTTCACAAAACCGTTATTTTTCTCATGGATATTTTTACCAACATTCCATTGAAACGCAGGTTAAATTTAATACACACGTTTAACTTTAAAATTGACAGTTTCATGAAAGGCTTGCCATGGCCAGCGCCATGCCAGCAGAAAGGCAGAATGAACAAAAAGCTGAAATTAGACTGATTTTGGCTTTCTGTACATTCTTGCACTTTGACCTAGTCTTTACTTCAAGTTCAATCAATCATTGAGGGCAAGATGTACAGCTTTAATAGTTGGCCTATTATGTCTGTTTTTGTTGCTATTTTTGTTGTTATTGACTTTGTAGTTGTACATGTACATGCGACCGAAAACTGTCTCGCTAGGCCGATAACTGTCCCCGAAACGGTGAAAACTGAAATGAATATTGTCATGGCAATTCATGATATTTTTTCTGGAATTATAATATTTGCTTCATGATTTGAACAAGAAATGATAATGAATAAGAAGTAAAGAGTCCAAAAATAGGATTTTGTCTTAGGCCATTTAAAAAAAATATACATGTTTAGCGTCCCCGCCCGCTTCCTTTTGGGGGGCCGCCTCCTATTTTTTTTTTGAATTTTTTGAATTTTTTTTTTTTTTATTTAAAAAAAAAAAAAAAATTTGTAAAGAAAAAAAACGTGAAAAACACTGCTAAAATGGATCTATTTCTGATTTTAAAAAAAAAAATTAAAAAATGTTGGCCGCCATCTTGAAAAATAGCCTGAATGTCAGGGAAAATTTTGAGCGGCCATTTTGAAAGAAGAAAAAAAAGGGCCTCCTTCCTATTTTTCGAAAAAACAGCACGCTAAACATGTTTTTTTTTTATTTGGCCTTAAGTGGCCTGAAAACCCCCTCCTTCACTGGTATAGTAAAGGAGGGGGTAATCGACCGTCGACAGTTTTCGGCCAGTCTGTTGGATGCATGGTAAAATCCCTTTAAAATAATTTGTGATGATTCACTGTTTACAAACATTATGCAATTCAAAGTACATGTAATAGCTGTGGTGATCACCATGCAAATACCCAGATGATTTGCAAATTTTCATCTGATTAATGATAAATCTTGAAAAACTTGTATGGTTTGACTTTGATTGAATTCACAGAATTTTGAGAAGATCTTGAAGCACCACGAAGCTAATCAGAAATGGAAAGAATGGACATTTGAGAGCACCATCTGCACATTACAACAGAGATTCCCTCATGCCCAGATAGTGATGGTCACACCTTTTCGTCGAGTGGACGAGACTTTCAGTTGCTATGACAACTTCATGGAGATGGACATCCTCGGGTCACCAGTTAGCATTGAGTGTCATCATGCTTGGGAACACTTGAGACTTTTACTTCAAAATGCTTGGAAAAGCATTGGAGAAGAACAGGCACCCAATTCCATGGTAAGTAGTTTAAATAGTCTTAGAAACTTGCATGAAAATCTCGACAATATAAACTTACACTTTTGTGAATCATTAATGACAAGCAATTGTACATGAACAAAAAATTGTGCTTGGCAAACATGTAGTACTCATGGTTGGGGGGGGGGGGGGGACTATGAATGTAACTCACTCGCTATTTATTAGCAAAGCTTCTTTGACTTTAAAGTTTTTTTTTCCATTTCAGGGAAAGAAATATATGAATCATCAAAAAGATCACATTATGCATTGTGTTTTTTAAACTTTGGTTTATTGTTGCGTTTTGCTCTGATGAATGCTGGGTCTGTGTTAGCGTTATTCAAGTGATACATGTACATGTAGTTGAATAATTCAGTTTTTGAGTACTTTTCATGTTTTTCTTTTTCATTATCCCTTTTGATTTCTATAAAGGTTGAAGCAGGTACAATTGGAGACATTTTGACGGAGTCATCACTAACGCTGATCGGTTTCAGCAAAGGCTGTACAGTTCTCAATCAGCTTATGTATGAACTAGAAGATGCATGCTCTAACAAAGCCATACTTGCCTTTATCAGAAGAATCGAGGCCCTCTATTGGCTCGATGGAGGTCATGTAGGGACTATCCCAACGTATGTTACAGATGACAACGTCTTAAGAGAGATCTCCAAACTTAAGGTAGGATGGTATTTTCAGAAATATTAGCAAAGCAAGTCCAAGGTACAACATCGTGGTGACTCGTAGGCCTACTATTCAAGTATTTTGCTAAATAGCAATGAAAACAGACATGATAAAGATTTGTGTCTTGCCCTAATCGCAGTAATCAGAGTAATGTTGTGTTTGGGATCGGTGTGTTACTGTGTTTGTAGTAATTGCAATATCGAGAGGTACATAAATAAAGAGGTGGTGAGACTTGTATCTTTAAGCGTAATATACATGAGTATAATTCATTAACTCTAAAAACCATGAGTCACATAGTTCAGATTCAATATATATTCACAAGTTGTAAAGCAGCCAAGATCTTAGGTGTGACTGAGCTTGGTGATGGTCTGAACTCCTCTCCCCTTTCATGAGGGATGCACACTCATTATATTCCCAAGTTCATTCTCACTTTCATCTACATGTAGCTAACACATGTAATCTGTTCTGGGAAATCATTTACTGAGGGGGTGTAGACTCGTACTACCATTACATAACAGTAAATGGAAAGAATGAACAGGGAGACGAAATGAGACGATATAAGCGAAAGCTAAAAAAAAAAACAAGTGTAAGATTAATGAGCTGTGATTGGCTCACATAAAAAAGACGTCAAGCCAGCGGTTTACTGACAACAGGTTGTAGCGATGCTAGCTAGAATAACTCACAGCATTGGGTTAGTGAGCTGAATATAGGCAGCTTCCAGTTCACTTACCACACTGTGCCGACAGAATGTTTCAATTTTGCAGTACCAATCATCTCATATAGCTATCAACATCGTCATCAGTTATTATTAACATACTGTACATGTACTTAAAAGTTAGTTACATGTGTAATTAAACGTTCCTAAATATCAGTTATATTTGATATGTAGGGGTCAATAACACATGGGACATACGTGTATATGTTGAACTGGTATTTTGCACTTTCTCAGGAGCTATTTGTTAAGATTTCTTCGCGAATATTCATGATAGTATTTGAGTTACTCCTTATCGTTTTATTGCAAGACATACTGCCATACCAAAATGTCAATGTTAGTACTTGGAAGTTAGAAATTGAATATACTGTTATGTAAAAGTAGTACTAGGCTACACCCCTCTCAGTGATATCACTCAGTATGCCCCAATACAGACACGACCCACCAACCAGACCCCCCTTCCAGAACACTTGTTTAATAACTTAATCCCAGCCAAATATACCCAAATTGTATACCTCTGATGAGAACCTCCAAAACAAAAGACTTCCTGTCTCCCTCCCAATAATTAAAGCCCCTTTTTGTTAGATAAGACCCCTTCTCAGAACAGATTACATGTGTTAAGCTAGATGACCGTGATAATGAACTTGGGAACAGAATTAGCGGAAATCCCTCATGAAAGAGGGGAGAAGTTCAGACCATCACCAAGCTAGTACCTATACATTGGCTGCTCTAGATCTTGTAAATATACATCCAATCTGGACTAGGTGACTCATCGTTTTTAGAGTTAATAAATTATACTCTTACAGTATTACACTTCAAAGAAAGTCTCAGCACCTCTTTATTGATGTTCCTCTCGATATTCAAATAACTACACACACGCTGATCCCAAACCGAACAATACCAGATGGAGTCATTATTGCTTGAAATGTATGCAGTAATTCCATTAAAGGCTCTTTCAGATGGCATGAATACCACAATTCTCTGCTCAAGACTAATTTGTTGAAAGTGAATGTTCACCATATTCTTTTATTTCTGTTTAGGCTACCTTCTATGTTCATGTCACCCCCTACCAAGTAAATGTTCACCATATCCTTTTATTTCTGTGTAGGCTACCTTCTATGTTCATGTCACCCCCTACCAAGTGAAGGACGAAGGGCGTCCTCACATAGGCGAAGAGCACCTTCAGTTCATATCCAAGCTGATGCAGTATGGAGCGGACATCAAAAGCACGCTACACTTCAGGGACGAAAGCAGGTCGTTGAAGAAACACTTTGAGGTCATCAAACTATTCTGAGGGCAATCTGAGGACTCCTGTTTCAGGCCCTATGCTGTAAGTACATGTACCACAAATGAGACCCAGTTTGAAGGTACCATGTCCCATTCGCAGGCCCCAAAAAATGAAAAAGTTAAATTCCAACGGCATTTGAATTTAGAACTTCCCTAAAAAAAAAGGGGGTCTTTATGTGGGAAAATAACGACTATTAGTTATCGAATCGACTTTAGAGCTATAGAACCAGTAAGTAATAGTCTGATTTTCAGACCATTGTACTGAATGGTCGCACGTTTTATGCTGCGCAAAGATTCAATCATTTTAATTTTGGTCATTACAAGAAGTAGGTTATTGATGTAGACAAATGCTCATGTACCCTTTACAGCTCATTTTATGTATGCTATTACCAAAGAAGAAAAAAGCCAGTCAGTCACTCAATAGTGTGTGACAGTGAAGTCTATCAAGTAAACAGGTTTCCTTGCATAATTTGAATATTAGGACACTGCTAACGTTTAAATTGTACAGATAGGACATACATGACATATTCCTAATTCCTGCAAAGTTCTACAGAATTTGATGTTGGCTGCAAAAGGGACATACGGTAGTATCTTTAAACTACCTTTTGAAAATTTGATATGCAAATTCTGTTATCATATTCTGTAACAGTAATGTGACTGAATTTCTAGACATTGTCTTCAGAAGTGTTGATTGTTACTCTAACTTTTTGTTCTCTTAAAGCACTGGTGACATTTGCTTGTGGCTTAATTTCATCAAAGCTTTTGTTTTAGGATTACAACTAGAGTTTATGTTAAGTTTGGTATTGAGGTTCAGGCAATACATAGGGATAGTCGAGATCAAATTTGGTTTGTTTTAGGGATTGACCATGAAGGAATTGAAGCCAGAGCATGTGTTGTATGTATGGCATGATTGTGATGGAAAATTGCTGAGTGAGATAAATAAATCCTTACTTGATGATTCCTCAAAATGAAATTTAAAAAGGGCATTGTGTAGTCAACCAGAAGCAGTAAATGAACTTGATATTAAAAAAACTGGCATGTGAAGTTTGAAGAAAATATGATTTAAATCGTGACTGTTCTTTAACCTTCTGTTTCCAGATTCTTGATGGAAGACACATGATTGAGCGAGCAGTCCAGATTGGTCAGACCTATCAAAGATCATTCAGTGCAGCCAGGGACCGGTCAGACCCATCAAAGATCATTCAGTACAGCCAGGGACCGGTCAGACCCATCAAAGATCATTCAGTACAGCCAGGGACCGGTCAGACCCATCAAAGATCATTCAGTGCAGCCAGGGACCGGTCAGACCCATGAGCAGTTACAGAGTCCATTCTTAATCTAAGGCTTGAGGTTTGCGTACATTTAACGTATTGGATACTCATTGATTTTGATATACATGTACGTTATTCAGACGGCCATAAAAAGTAAATCATTCAATTAATAGTGGAATTGGAGAAGTAATAGCCGAGTTTGATGTTGATTTAGGTTTAAATCATTATAGTTGTGTACTTCTTAAGTATTTTATCATTCCATAGTAAATATTCTGTATTTAACAACTCAGAAAAACTTCTTCTCACAAAGTATCTAGATCATCAAGTTGCGTTATTGCCAAAAGCACTTCTTATATTCATTATATTCATATGCTAAATTAGTTATTATTTATTCCATGTATCTTTCATGGGAAGTTTTCATTGTAAAGGAAACTAAATTTGCCAGAGAACTTCTTAAAGGTATGGTATTTTCCAGACCTAATGGTGTTAGGTTTACAATTTTGGTTTTAGATAATGTTCCAAAATAGGGTAATGGTTACGTACAACTGTACATGTACATGTAGGTGTTGCCTTTGGTCCAGGGTTCATGTAAAGAAATTTGTGGCGTCCTCCACATGATGCGTGAATCTGATAAAGTTCACAAACACTAATCCACATCAATGCCATGTTCAGGTTCGTCAAGACTAGTCATCTCCAATCAACAAACAAATTCAGGCCTGTTGTAGCTGTACAATATCTTTGAACAAACTTTTCCTGAAACTGCTGTAACTAAGCAACTTCAACTGTACTGGTTTCACTTGAATACTAAAGCCTGCTTAATACAATCATGACAAATCCTAGTTATCCTTCATCTAACAGGCAGTCTTCAGCCCTTGTACTCCAGGTAATTAAGGAGCCTCCTCTTTGATCGAACGTATCGCTCTCTTCTCTTTGTCTTCCACACTGTAAGAGTCCTAGACCTTGACAAAATGTCTATTTCTTGCCCCTAGTCAAACCTATCTGTTATGTCTTCTTTCTCATTTTGAATAATGATGAATTGAAGTATTAATAATTTTTTTTCTTCATGTTGGAATAGTTACCTGGAGAAGTTGCAGGACTTTCACCATTTTGTGATGATCGTCTATTGTTCATCCTTTAGTTCATACGTTGAAGCACCTTGTTTGGGCGTCAACCGGTCATGTCCGAGGACGCTCATTGATTGCCCATTTCTGCTTGTGGACATGCTTAAACATTTCATGCACAGAATTCCAGCGTGTCTTCACCGACTGGATGAGCTTGTGCTTGGTAAGTTATGTTGCTCCTGCTTAGCACTCAATGACTTGCTGGCAATTACGGAGTGCCTAAAGTGGCCAACAAGTCTCGAAGTGGCCGCCATACAGGTCTCTGGGACTTCAAAGTCCAAATCTTTTTTAGTTCCGGGAGAACATATACAGTCACCTTACTGCGAGGTGACAAACAATTATTAATTGCCAAAATAACAGCATCAACAAATATAATTTTGCCAAAGTGGTTGAGATGCAGTCAGCCATATTCACGTAAATCCTCTAATCTATCAAACAAATTACACTGTATAATATAATTTACAGTTCTCCCCAACAAGCACGCTAAATTGTTCATGTTGATATTGTAATATGCTGTTTGCATAAAGATCCTCAGGGTCCCATCTGGGCAAAATAGCATTACAAATGATTAATGCTGATCGATATAGTTCCCACACTGTATTATAAGGTAGTCAATAATGTTCAACATCAGCATCCTACACATTCCTGTTCAGATTGTTAGTTCCTACGTGTCAAGAAACAACATCAACGCCAAAATATGCTTGTGTAATGGTTTCTATACTCATGTACAAATGTAGTGATTGTGGAAGGAGTTTTAGGAGCTGGTCCTCCCCCTGTCAATCTCCTTCCCGAACTCCACAAGCTCCACTCATTCTTCGCCACCAGCTTCATGCGTTTCCATTGCTCCTTGAGCTCTTTTAGTTCTCTCTTTGTTCCATATCGAGCTTGGAACATCAGGTGAATGCGGCTCCACTCGTTGTTCTTTGCCACATTGGCCTCATAGTCGTTCTTCTTATTCTCGATGACCTCTACACTTTCTGCTAATAATTCCAGAAGATAGTGTTTCTCGATCGCATCCCAATTTGCCTTTCTTTGCTTCCTACTAGACTCTGCCATTGTGAGCTACCTGTAGACTTACGGTAGTTCTAATTTTAAGATTAATATTGCGCAGTCTCTCCGTTTCGTTGCATCCTCTCGTAGAAGGCGGCGAATGGGTTCTCTTTTGGAGTGTCCCCATACTCTGCCTTCAGCTCCTCCACTGCATCTGCTGCCGTCTGCAAGGACTTTCCTCACTTGTGTAAATGCTGGTCCAGTTGTGGGTGGCACTTCCGGTTGGGCGGACAGGTTAAGTGGGGCTTCAAATGTGAGCTCTGCCTCTCTCCGTTCCGTTGCAGTGGCTTGCAGATTTCCATTTGGATCGAGAACACAATAAACAAACAAAATTTAAGTCAAGTTTCATCAGTGAAATCCTCATCCTCTGAAATCTCCGCCCCAGAAATCTCTGCATCCTCCCAAGTCATTCTTGTAATCCGAGTAGGTGCTTTCATGTATCTCCGCATTCTCAGAGTGCCTGGGGAGAAAAAAAATCCATGTTTGTGCCGTAATTCTGATATACGTCAGAAACGTTCTGCACATGAGGAATATACTGCACAATTGATGCAGCAGCTCTATCATGCTGGCCCTCAATGATCATGAGCTTGAGAGAACGAGTAAGGTGTCTCAAGCCTTTTTGTTGCTTGGACACCTCCTTGCCCATGTTGACAACACATTTAGATAGGTTGAGGTGTTGTTTGCGCATAGTATTCAGAAACTGCCTCATTTCTCGCACCAGGACATACTGCTCCTCTCTACATCTTGCCTGCTTTGTTCTTTGCTTGGACACCTCCTTGCCCATGTTGACAACACATTTAGATAGTGTGAGGTGTTGTTGGCGCATAGTAGTCAGAAATTGCTTCATTTCTTGCACCAGGACATGCTGCTCCTCTCTACTTCTAGCTTCCTTGTTCAGGAGGTCAACAGTGTTACGCTGAAGGGGACTTAGGCTAGATCCCTGCAAGTGGGTCAAACATAAAGGAATATTAAGGTGTGTGACAGTTTTGCTAACAGTGTTAGCATTTGGCTTTGCAGGTTTATCGCTCCGCTCCCCCGTAGAGGTAGCGGACTGAGCCGCTGGCTTACCCCCGCCTGTGGCGGCCTGGGAAGCGGTTGCCGATGCGGTGGTACAACCTGTAGTGGTTTTACCACCGGCCGATTTTGACGTTGATTTTTCCATGAAAAAAGCCTTTCTATCCACCGATGGAGTGTTTGATAGAAGCTACAAGGGATAATTTGTCAAACTATTGTTAAAAAAACGCTACTACGAAGAAGAGTCCAAATTTGTTTGAGGAGAACAAATTCCGAAAACGGGACTCAGTGAGACGCCATTTGCAAGCTGTAACGTAATCTCATACGAAGTAAAATGTTAAAATGAATAGCAGAAGAATGCCATACACTGACAACAATCTACATGCCAATGATGGAATGGACATATAAAATACTGGCAATGGATAGGAATACGACCTTCCTGATTTATTTTGTTAAACACTGATGGTAAACTTCATTTTAATAGCTGGTACATGTATGTGCTTTGACATTAATCTGTGACTTTCTATAAAGCAAGGTACTGTCATAAATAAACATTCTTGAAGCTAAAAAATGACTACACCACTGGATATGCCTAGCATATGGAAAAATTCATTGTCCCATAACTTTGAACTGTTGATCGTATACAATACAGTGGAAAATCTAGATGTCAATAAACAGTGCGGAAATAAATGAAGTAAATAATGAGTTTATATTTCACACCTCAATTTGTTTGTAGATTGGGCCTTCAGGATCTACCACATCCTGTTCAGTCAGAGTGTCTGGCAGGTCCCCCGATGAGAATTTCTTCTCGTTGTAACCTTTGATGTCTTTATGCAGGGAGGCTGCAGTGGACTTTATCGGCTTGGCTACACAAACTGCGAGAGTCTGACCAGCTGTTAACAAATATTACAGATAAATTAGAACATAAAAAATGTGCAAGGCTCTTTCTTGCAAGAAGGGGGGAAGGGGAGAAGATGGTTAAATTTGTTGACCCCCCCCCCTCCCCCCCCCCAAAAAAAAAACAACAACAACACAACAACAACAACAATTAATAAAAATAATTATGCAGCACATTTCTATACCAAAGAATAATGCTCATACCGTTTAGAAAATTGATATACATGTAGATATTACCAAAATAATAGTTTAGAAAATTGATCAATTTAGTTGTGGCAGAGTGACTGCGGCTATCTGTGAATATCACATTAAACTTGACACAATATAGGGTATTGAAGATATAAGGAGGAGAAAAAGCTAGGAAATGCACTGCTATGATTACTAACCTGAATATTTCTTTCTACAGGCTACAGAAAAACTGTGATCGCAAGCTTTCCTGTTGATATCTTGTAGCAGTTCCTTTTTTTGTTTAGTTTGCCTCCTGTGATTGGCCAATCGATACCTTGTCTCTTCCATCTGCCACGAGTCTTCTCCATCTTTAATGATGGTAGATTCTTGCCTGGGTAATGTGAAAAGAAAAGCCCGCCCAAGAATTAAATCCAGGAAAGGGTAAAACATTACAAAAGGATTGTCCTTTTCAGAAAATAAGGAAGCCCTTTCAATGGCAGGGTAAATCAAATTTGAGAACCTCCCTTTAAGCCTACTGCCACTGGGGTGCGCAGTGAACAAATTTGCCTAACTAATGTCAATGGCAATAATACATACATGTACATGTTATTTTTATACATTTTAACATTTTCTAATTTAATCTTCTTCTTCACTGAGGGCCTCATCAAAGTAAAGAATCAATTTTCTCTTTTCGTGGAGCCTCTTCCTTCCCTTCGTGACCATATAGGTTGTTGTATGCACTTCTACTCGTGAGATCTGTACAAACCCTCTCTTCGGCCTTTGTACTTTGACCGTTACTTCTAGGGGATCTTATGTATCGTTTTCTATCATCAGAGATGGTTTCTTTTCTTTTACACACAGGGCCTTCCTCCAGCTCTACCTCGCCCCCCATTCACTTGGAATTTAGGGTTGAACCTTGCTTTCTTATAGCCTCGGAATCCTCCATCGAGAACATTGGCTCGATACACATTTATGATGTTGGAAGGCAAAATAATCTGCCTCGATAACTCTTTCTCCTGCAAGGACGGGAGAATCCTTGATTGCTGCCAATGCGAGGGTGAGAAACACTTTGTTGTTAGCTCCTTGTTATCAATCCCACACTTGCCTGCAAAATTAACATTTAATGATGCTGCTGGGTTGAATCTTGCTTTTTTGAAGCCACAAAATCCTCCATCTAGGACATTCGCCCGGTAAACATTTGTTAGATTTGCAGGCAAATTTGTGTTAATCTGCCTGCCAATATCGAAAATGAGTTTCTTCAGGGATCTGGAAAGAGAAAATACTACCGCTGTGTGAGATTTGACTACCCACAATCCTTCATGTCCTGGTTATGGTAAGAAAATTGCCCATTGTGTTGCGTTCATTTAATACAAATCTCCCAGGTTTCTTATGAAATCTTGCTTATTGAATTTGACTGCTGGCAGCTCGGCAAGGCGAGGGTGAAAAATTCTCGTGTTAGTCCTTTGTTATCAATCCCACACTTGCCTGCAAAATTAACATTTAATGATGCTGCTGGGTTGAATCTTGCTTTTTGAAATCCCTGATAACCTCCATCAAGGACGTTCGCCCGGTAAACATTTATGAGATTGGCAGGCAAATCTGTGTTAATCTGCCTGCCAATATCATAAATGAGTTTCTTCAGGGATCTGGAAAGGGAACAAGATACCGCTGTATTCTTGACTGCTGCCAAGGCAAGGGTGAGAAACTCTCGTGTGAGGCCCTTATTTTTGATCCCACACTCGCCAGCAAAACTCACATTCAATTGTGATTTTGGATTAAATCATGTTTTGCAAAAACCTTGAAATCCTCCATCAAGGACATTGGCTCGATACACATTTATGATGTTCATAGGCAGTCCTGTTTGAAGGGTTGCTGGGTGCAGAATTTGCAAGCTCTCTGCAAGCTCGTCCACGTCATGGTATCCTGTTCTGGAACAAATTGAACCTACCATTCTGAAGCCTTGCATAGTTGGCTATGCTTGCCACAGATGATGACGGAAGGAGGGTCACCTGCCTCGTGTATGTAGTAGGCCTCCTTCCCGGCCGTTCCTGTCTTCCCCGTTCCTGCCTCCGCCTACCAAGACCTGGTGTCCTGTTCTGGAACAAATTGAACCTACCAATCTGAAGCCCTGCATAGCTCGCTATGCTTGCCACAGATGATGACGGAAGAAGGGTCACCTGCCTCGTGTACGTAGTAGGCCTCCTTCCTGGCCGTTCCTGTCTTCCCCGTTCCTGCCTCCGCCTACCACGTCCTGGTGTCCTGTTCTGGAACAAATTGAACCTACCAATCTGAAGCCCTGCATAGCTCGCTATGCTTGCCACAGATGATGACGGAAGGAGGGTCACCTGCCTAGTGTACGTAGTAGGCCTCCTTCCCGGCCGTTCCTGCCTTCCCCGTTCCTGTCTCCGCCGACTACGTCCACGTCCTGGTATCCTGTTCTGGAACAAATTGAACCTACGAAAGTAAACTGCATAAATTATTACTATCAGATCTCCTTTGGAAATATACTCTATTGACTACTAATGATGATGACATCAGAATTTATAAACATCGCTGGTATTTGGTCCTTGAAAAACACATTGTTTTTCTCCTGCCTTGCCACACATGGCGCAGTCCTGTTCGAAAGATTGCTGGGCGTGGAAATTGCAAGCTCTCTGAGCAACGCAATAGTTTGGTATGTGTTTACCTGTATCCTGTGTACATTCAAATTCAAAGAATACATACTTGGTATTCTTTGGTCGCTCATCCTTCAGAAGATCATTGGCACCTTCTTCTACCCCCTCTTGTTCATCATGTTGGTCTCTCAGCGTGAATGGATCTTTTTGTTGTATGTGGCTTTTATGCCCAGGATCGACAATACATCTGCATTTTTTGCACAGCGTTTGGCCGCAGATGTGTTCTTTGCCTCGCTTTTTTAATTGCCCCTTACTGCAGAGTGTTTGGCATATTTCACATTGGAAAAAACGCTCATATACCTTGTTTGCCCAATGTTTCTTGAAGCACCACTCGTTCTTAAAGTAGCGATTGCATTATTTGCATTGTTTGGACTCATCCTTTTCGGTAGTCAGAGGTCTGGCTACGTCTTAGAACATGAAGAGAATATTGAGCAAAATAGCCTTTTTCACACACAAAAAAATGGATCTTAATTTTCACAACAAATTTTTGAAATGAGTAAAAAATATTGGAAATGCAACTCATCTCTGCAATGCCAAAAACCATTGTAATAAAAACTTTTGTAAGTTATTTTCAACTCTTGGAAAACATCAATTTCTATCATGCATATCAACTCATTTACAAACTATATACCTGACACTGAGGTCTTCTGTCATATCTAGACATGATCTCAATGAATAGCATTTGAAGAACAGAGAGCACATACAAATGTTTGATCAGAATCACCCTCTTTTCCCGCGCAACCTTCATGTGCCGTCAGATTTAGCACCGGATGATACCATCATTGCCTGCACTCCAAATTTCACTGCAGTAGATATGCTCGGCAACACCAGTATCTTTACTTGATAAAGAGGTTGATGTACACGACATGTACAGACATCATGTAATGCGTAGTTGAATTCAAATATTCCATTACGTTTGCATTGAACTCCTTTTGCAGTTAATGCCAAACACCGACGAGATCTCAGGTTGATCAAAACCCTTCAATAAATCAGACATCATTTTGATCCCTTAGTCGCACTCCACCTAATTTACATTTATTTACACGAGATGATCATCAACGCACACATGACAAGTCAGTGAAGTAGCATACATTTCAGTATATAACAAACAAACAAACATTACAGTATATAAGATTTAAAGGCAAATATAATGCCTACAGTGTTGAAAATGGTGAACATCTGCTCACATTCTGACTCAAATCTACCGAAAATACATTCACATATTCTGGCTCTTAAAAAAAATATATACCTTCAAAGCCCTCCACGGCTTAAACCCAAATAAACTTGATGATACCTTGCAGTATGTTTGTGAATCATGTGTCCCACCAATGCATGTGTAACTACTGTTCTCTCCTCTCGTGATGCAAAGTGCTTGCCTTTCATGCGCTCCACTGTTGCTTCACCTTTACGATACCCTGACTAGATTGTTTTGAATTCCTACACAGTTGGTTGAAGATCCTCGGACATGGCTTGTGGAAGGGCCAACCCTGGTGTACAGTAGCTTGTGGATTGATTAGATGGTCCGGCTACGTCTTCCAACATGTAGAGAATATTGAACAAAATAGCCTTTTTCAAAAAAAGAAAATGGATCTTAACTTTCACAACAAAATTTTGAAACAAGTAAAACACTGGAAATGCAACTCATCCCTGCAATGCCGAAAACCATTGTAATAAAAACTCTTGTAAGTTATTTTCAACTCTTGACAACATCAATTTCTATCATCAAATGATAATAAAATGTCATGTAAACTGCTAATGATATTAACTCATTGACAAACTATATACCTGACACTGAGGTCTTCTGTCATATCTAGACATGATCTCAATGAATAGCATTTTAAGAACAGATAGCACATACATGTACAAATTCTTCATCAGGATCACCCTCTTTTCCCGCACGACCTTCATGTGCCCATCCAGAACGGATTGTGCACTGGATCATGCCATCATTGCCTGCACTCCAAAGTTCACTGCAGTAGATACACTCGGCACCACCAGCATCTTTACTTGATGAAGGTAGTCTTACGTTATTACGTTATCTTTGATTTTTACTGCACTTACCACATTTCTTACGATTTAATCAGTCTAGAAGTTGCGTCTGGAGGCGAATCTTTAATTCATGCATTTTCTCCATCGCCTTTATCTTTGTGGCATGTTCCACCTTGAGCCTCTTGTAGAGGCGCGAGACCTGGTCATGGTCCGCAGGCGCAGAGGTTGATGGCGACGAAACTGGAGCCCGGCTCTCAAATTTTTTTCTTCAAAATCGATTCCAGCTGCCCCTTCTTGGCAGCTTTTGCCTTTTTGACTGGGTTGTGCTTGCTTCATAGTCTCAGATATTGAACCTTGTATCTCAGTTTTCCAGTTAGAACCTTATCCGAGAATCAGGTAAGATTCCTAAACTAGAAACCTTTCGAAAATTAAACTTTAAACTCATGATTTCAGGCATGTCTTTAAATCTTGGGTTCTGCAACAGGGTTTCTGTGATTGTTAGTGAATCTGTCAGAATCCTCTCTCGTCTGTGTTGGAATGCCATTGTGTGATACTCTCTCTGTTTAGTCACATTGTGGTAAATATAGGTGGGTGCTGATGCATCCATTCAACCTAAAACAAACAAACACATATAAAATGCATATACATGAACATGGTAATCTAGAACCAAGTCACATACATGTACTGTAGGAACACAATATCATATTAAGGAGAATATGTACGAGAATAACATCAAATTAATCATAAACAATTTTGAACAGGTGGGTTTTGAGTGTAGATTTTAAGCAGTTTACAGTTGATACACTGTATATACATCAGATATATATGATATAGTTGTTGCTATGTTGGGCAAACCTCTGAAAATAAGATCACAAAAGGTCACATGACTTTGTAACAAGTCCCATTCACATCAACTTGGTGCCAAACGATGCACAATGCTCAAAAGATAAAACATACATGTAGAGCAGTGTGACATAACATATGGCTGTAAAGAATACACAAATATTTGCCTAGGGACATGTCCCAAGCTCCTGTCATTCCCTGTGTAGTATGGGTTAACACATGAAAATACTGACCCTGCTTCTTGTCATCCTCTAGGGTCTCCTCTATCAGCTCATTTACATTAGCCAGGAGCTCCTTGCATGTGCTCACATTGCTGGTAAGGCCCATGATGGATGTGACAGCTTTCTGCAGGGCAGACTGGAGATCTACCAGCAGATTCGTTGTTGTATATGCCATCTCCATTTCCTTGATAAGCTTTGGGTAGGAATAACCGATAAAAATACAAACATGTTACAATGCCAAATGTATGGTTTTCACAGTTGCCCTAACTACTCTCTCCACAATATCTCCCATATTCTTCTTTTCACCTGTTTGCAAATCTTGCAAGTGTTCACTGATATCAAAATTGATAAAAATCCCCTTTTCTGGGGCATGGGCCACAGCCGCCATTCCTTGTTGGGCAGCGACCTTGCGGTCAGTGTCCATATCAACAGCAAATAGGCGTCTGGGGGATGCTTGCTGTTTTGTTGGGCTTTCTGTACTCTCCCTTCCTGATGAGGGGAGATACTTCCCTGCTTTGCTTGAACGCTTGATCCGTGTCATGATCATGAGTAAACTCAGTGTACTTTCACAAGAGAAATCAGTTGATTTTATCAAAATGACTCACCCAAAATTACTTCTAAATGCTCCAGAATGATCAATAGCGAATACCTCATAAGATGATATTAATTGTTACGATTGATTCCCTGTTACAGTGAACAGTGTCCGAATATCAGAGCACATTGGGAGAGCTGCCTACATCGTGTTCGCGTAATTATAAGTAGCTTGCATCATTCATGCAAAATTTCAGGCATGATTTGTGCATGAGTTTCAGGAACACATTGATTTTACATTTTCATCAAAGGTTATCTTCTCCAATTGTTTTTCCTTTGGCTTTGGCTTAGCCTATAATCTAGGCGGAGTGCCGAGCTTTTTTCTTTGCTGCTAGACTAACCTTAAGCAGAACGTCTGATACGGCGAGACTACGAACCGTGAGCCACGAAGCGGCTCACCGCCTATAATCACTGGTCTAGCTAATCAATATTCATATATGGTCATTTTCACAGTAAAGGGTGTAACTTTTCTCAAACAGGGTCAAAATTTCAAAATATGTTTTCATAATCATTTCTACTAAAATTAGTACTTTAAGTGTCTAAATTATGGATTTTTTTTGGTTCTGGAGCTTAAACTACATGCGAAACCTGGAAAAATAATGAACAACTGTGACAAATATGATAAATTTGAACAAAAACAACATTTTAATTCTATCAACTTAAATGACAACATTTGTTCTCCAAACATAATTCAATTGCAATTTTTCATTTGCTATTCTAATGTACTTAAAGGCTTATAAAGCTTTTTGGGTCAAACTTATTTGGTCTTTAAAAAATTCAATGCGTTTGTCAAATTCAAGATAAAATATGACTTTGACATTTAATTTTTCAAATTTACCTATCTTCCAAGAGGGGGAGCAAATAAAAATTACTCTACAAATACCATTCAGTGAGGGCTAATTACCATGCAAATTCCAAAGAAATCGCATTTCAAATGAGGAAGTTGAAAATTTCTTATGTGTGTGTTTCGGAGGCTTCAGGTTAACAAAATGCCTGTTTCGGAGGCTTCAATCATGTTAACATAAAATGTTGTCCATTACTTAGGTAACATATTAAGAAAGATTCAACTTAAAACTGTTAATGATATGTTAAATTACTAATATAACACCTAAAACATTTGTTTAGGGAGTAAAAATACTTGTTAATATAAAGTACGGTACATGTATGTTACAAATTATCTTTACTTAATACGATGAGTTTTTTGTTCAGTACACAAACATTGCAAAGTCACTTAATGGAATCCATGAGGATTTCAAATCTGTGCTGATACTCAGGGAATATATTGTCAAGTATGTAATTTCCAAGGAAATCACTTTTCTCATATCAAATTTGAAACATTCAGGAAACATATACATGTATAGGATCAGTTCAAAGTAGTGTTTCGGAGGCTTCAAACATGTTAACACACTATATTGTCAACTACAAAGGCAATATACAAAGCGAAATTTAACCTTACTTTTGAAGATTTGATAAAATGTTGAACTGTAAGTAAAGTACTTAAAATAATTGTTCACATAGAAACCATTTATGTTAATTCATAGCAATGTATCACTACCCTTCACTTGCGTCTTTGTCATCATTTATTCTTAGTGCAAAGAATTAAATTTCCACACAGTGGCTTCCACAAACTTGTTTGTTATGTGTTTACATTTACACAGACATTCATATATTTGAAACCAATAGCATGGTAAGTATTTACAGGTTTTTGTCCTGGAACACAATTGTGATCTACTTCTTATTTCAAAGAAATTTATCTGCCAACATGTCCAGTTCTCCTTCTTAAAAATTATAAAGGTAAGCTCTGCCTGCTGGGGTAGGGGTCCTGGTTGGTAGAGTCATCTTCTGTATTACATCTTTTTTTAGGCTGAAGGGCTTCACAGTCCTCTGTAAATTCATACAGACCATTGCTGTTCTGGCGCATGAACTTGACTTTGACATTGTCATCAATCAAAGCCTTTACCTAGTAGCAAAATAAGTATAGTAAATACAAACTTTCATTAAAACACAGATAAACAGCTTTCAGAATCCATTTCACTTCCTTGAAATATCTCACAGTCCCTTATTTTAATTCACCCTGTTAACTTTGTTCAGTACCACAACACCTGCTCATATACATTTTAGAAAAATCTTTTTGTCTAAGTATTTCTCACATACAGAAAGTTGATCCTGTTAAATGTTTTTTTAATAATCTGAGATCTAACATGGGTAATACTTACGGGAGCCATGAAAACCACCCCACTTGTAATCCTGCTGCTAGATGAAGGTGCCTCAAAATATATGGCAACATAATCGCTCACATTTGATGCTGCAATTGGAGAAGAAAATAGAAAATTAGCAGTTTGTACTGCACAGAACAATGTTCATACATATTATATCTGAGCTTGGACACTAAAAAACAATAAATTTGTTTGATTTTAAAAGTACATCTTGAACGTATATTTGCATAGTGCATTACATAATATTTTATTATTTATCCATGTGTTGTTTAAGAACTAGTTCATTAGTCTATATGGGCACCATCACTAAGGATGCTTAATGTGTACATTGCACAAATCTTAATTACTAATTACTAATTAATGACAGACTTGTTTTAATCTGTTTTGCCCATGGATTTGCAGGAATAACCTGTTCAAAATTGTAATATGTACAAGGATTGCATTCATTGTTACTGGTTTACCATTCTGCATAGCCATAGACCTGTATATGTACACACATGTATATCAGAAGTCTAATTTAAAAATTTGGTACTGAGGCAAACCTTAAAAGTCAGGTGACATCCAAATATAAATTGATTCATGTTTATGTTCAGGGAAGCATACAGCTCATAATTTGTTATAAATATATTTCATAGATTTTAAAATATTTTACAATAATTTTCTCAGACCTGCTAAGCTCCACCTAAATAAATATTCCAGATCTCATTCATCTATCTGTTAATCATTAGTGAGCTAACAAGAGAAATTGGTATGTTACTTTCTCCAGCTCAGCACATGCTCACAAATACCTCCACATTACCTTTCTTTTCCTGGTGATGCTACACCACTTCTGACATAGCAACTCATATGTTGGTATTGTGTGGTCCATTGTAAACAGGTGATCAGCTCTGTACCATTGTCTCTTGTTAGCTCACTAATGATTTACAGATGATGTCACAAAATGAATGAGATTTGGAGCATTTTTTTTTTAGGCTGCACATCAACAGGAATCAAACTATATTTGGATGTCACCCAACCTTTACAACAACAAAAAATGAGTATGATAAAGGTACATGCATGTACAATGTACAATATAGATCCTAACTAGGCCTCACTATATTTTTAGTGACAAATCTAAACTTTAAAAACTTTCACACATCAGTTCCATTACAATGACACATTAAAAAAAGTACAAGTAAAGAAATTAAAGGACACAATATACAGTTCTTACCTCTATATTCTTGTGCATAACAGTAAGGAAATGAGAGAACTGTCTGCAGTGTTCATGCCTGTCTGGAAGAGATGCTAACTACATGTAGTATCAGATGTTGCTAGCACATGTTGCTGTAACCTTGTCAATATCTTCAAGATCTTCATGGTCTATTAATTCGAGTCCTGCCGCGGCACTAATGTCCTTTGGCAAGACATTAATCTACATTTGCCACACTTGACCCAGGTGAGGTAAATTGGCTACCTGGCAGGAATTAATTCCTTGAAATGCTTAAGCGCCGTAATGGAAGCCATGCTAAAGCCGGGTAATAATTTTCAAATTTGGAAGCGCATAGAGACGTTCAATATGTGCTATAAAAGAACCGAATATTATTATTATTATTCCATTGTCATAAAAGGGGTTGTACACACTGCTTCCCTAACATTTCTAGAGGGTTCTTTACCCACCAAATTTCTCTCCTACTGTTACAAATGGTCCTGGGATGGCATGGCCTATGCCATTTGATCCTAAGGGGTTGGCAAAGAGCATAATACATGTGGGTAACACTAAATGAAGCCTCCGAAACAAATTGGATAAATGTTAAGGATGTCTTATAATTTGGGAAAATATAGTGATTCATTTTGATATTTTATATATTAAAATATTCATTAAGCTTGGAAGATTTATATGTATCAACTTTTTTTATTATTTGGTAAATGATTCTTACATTATCAAGGTTTGAAACGGGTGAATACTCCTAGCACTGGTGTAAAATTTCTTTCTGAAATGCTGACTATTGTAAATCTTTAAAAATATAAAAATCCAATAACATCTAACACATTCCTGTACTTTATTAGACCAAAACCAAACATAAAATAGGAAAACTGTAAACATTCCCCTATCTATAAAATCACAATAGCAAAAAATATGGTGTTAACTACAGTTTGAAGCCTCCGAAACAAGTTTTTTTGGTTATTAGTAAGTCTTGAAAAAAATTAACTGGATATCTATTTACTTTCAACTTCAAGGGAGCCTGCACATCCTAACATATGATTGCCATGCAGATTTAACATGAAACACATCGGTCTATGTATTTAAAAAATGAAAAATAATCTTTTTGCTGTTTCGGAAGCTTCAAGTGTTTCGGAGGCTTCAAGTGCTAACGGAAAGTTTGTAATGTCTATTATTTTCTAATAGTTGGGAATATCTAAGCTATTTATTGACAAGTGACTTAGGGGTCCTTATGCTACATTTTGATATAATGATTGGATAAATTCCTACATTCATATTTGTACAAGCTGTCCGAATAGTTTGTTTCGGAGGCTTCAAATCAGCTAACGGAAAATTGGGTCGACTCAGTCAAACTTTTTAAAAATTCTTACAAGCAACATGCTCAGAAAAATGTTGTCATTAGTTGGAAGTATAGATATCAAGTGTTATATCAAGAACAAAAGAAATGATAGAAAGCACTTTTCAAAGCAGAGCTCTTCACATGAAGTTTGTTAACTATTGTTAACGGAAAATGAAGTCTCCGAAACGACAAATTACAACACTCTGTTCTCAAAAATAGATGAGCCGTTACAGTTTAAACTTCTTTGGCACTTTTCATTGAACATCTAACTTCACATTCTGCATAACAAAAACAATCCTCACTGTTCCTGAAAAAAATGCAGGGCTTTACAAAAATGTCTATGTATTTTGTGTACACCAAAAGGGTCACATTTAGGGTACTTATGTGCCTGCCAAAATTTAACGAAGTAATCCCTGAAGATGTCTATGCTACCCAAGGTAGCACCCAAGTAGGTTACTCATATGCCAAAATATCTTTGAATTCTGTAGCTTTATGAGATCACTAGAGATAAAAATGTTCAAATTTCAGAGTTACACCCTTTACTGTGAAAATGACCATATATTCAAAATGGCGGATCTATGAATAAATAAGGTACACCTATGTTACGTTCGACCAATCAGATATAAGAAACCGCAACGAAAAAAGATTGCGCTCGTCCATTACTAAATAGTGGTAATAAAAAGGAAGAAGGGGAGATGAAACCCCAAAAATCGTTAAAATGATCATTTTACTACTGTGAAATATCAAAAAATTAAAAAATTGTAGTTTTATGTGAACAATAAAACATATATCTTTGTATGGTAAAACAATTATCGTATCAAATTTACAATGACAAATTAGTGGTTCCCCCTTGCTTTGAATGGACCGCTAAATAGTCTCCTCACAAAGTGCCAGAAAAGTTATCAAAGTTTAATATAGGACAGTTTGTATTGTTTTTGCATGCGTAATCAATTTTATGTAAGAATACACGGCAGAAATACCAAGGCTCTGAAGCTGCGTCACCTGCGATCTCATCAATGCAATCAATGGTGAAATTACCAAGCAGATCGACGTTGTTTTGGTAGTGCCAGTAGTGCCACTAGTGGTACCGGTAGTTTTTACGGCGGTACTTTCGTTCTGCCAACGGCAACGACTCGAGTCATCATGATCATAGAATCCGTGGTCGCGTAGAAAATCACAACACAAGGGGATTGCTTGGTATATTGCACTCTTTCCAAAACCAGTAGGTAATGCAACAAAAATATCCCTGCCGGCTTCAATAACGCTACGAATAGCGGATTCCTGCAGTTCTCTGAATTTTCCATTAGGAATGCCTAGTTTGTTGGCCGCATATTATAAACTTTCTCGCAGAAGATCGTTGTCGCATGAACTACCCGCCATCTTGGATGAAGAAAATGACGTAATGTCACGTGATTTATAATATGCATATGCATAGACTCTTCTCCATACGTGTTTCTGATTGGTTGAGTTCATTTCGTATTCATGAGGTTTTTTCGTACGAAAAACTGCCACGGATTCATGGTCGATAATAAAAAAAACAACGACTAAAGCTAGACCAGTGATTATAGGCGGTGAGCCGCTTCGCGGCTCACGGTTGGTAGTCTCGCCGTATCAGACGTTCTGCTTAGGGTTAGTCTAGCAGCAAAGAAAAAAGCTTGGCACTCCGCCTAGATTATAGGCTAGCTTTGGCTTTGAAGTATTTTTAGTTGAAGCCACAGAAACTTGTTGAGTTTCCACCATCTCTGACTTCCACTAGGGAATCCCAGGGTCGAAGTATAACTTACCCAGCAATACCCTTTCCTCCTGGGTAAAGTGTTCCTGTCTGGAACTGGATGAGGAAAACGGTTACACACCTCCGAGTCAGGCATGCAGTCGAGCAAGTGCTCCGGCACGCACTCCACCCAACCTACCTCATTCTCCTCTACCGCCAGTAGGAACATCCAGTCCAGTTGGCAGAGTACACCCTGTACCTCCGCCCACGGAACCAGCTGAGGAGCCATACAGGTTATCAATCCTGGATACAGGAGCTTGTGGTCCTTGACCGCCTCCTCTACCAGCTTGTTAAGAGCCCCTGTAAACGTCACACCCGTTCCACAATACACAACATTGCCTCTATAGGCTTCTTTCATCAATCAGCTAACAATTTTTTTTTATATTCCCACATCTATCATCATCATATTTCCCTTCCCTTTTACAACACAGATAATGCTGTTCACATTCAATGCCATTTTATTTTTAAAACATATAAAAGAAAGTAACCAAGAACAAACAATATTGAAAAATTAGCAATGCTCACTCTTTGAGATATCTTCCTAGAGATGTAACGACTCATCTCTTCCATCGGTTTCACCTTCTTTGGAGTAATAGCTGAAAAGGTGCAGATGAGAGAGAAAGTAAAATGTGTTCATACTGTCACATGATTAATTCCGTGGAAAGGAGGAGCCGGATAAAATTATCTTTGTAGAGATGAAACGCCCATCTCAGTGCTCACTCTTTTAGGTATCTGTGTAGATATGTAGTGACTCATCTCCTGCATCAGCTTTACCTTCTTTGGAGTAATGGCTGAAAAGGTGCAGATGAGAGAGAAAGTAAAACGTTTTCATACTGTAACATGATTAATTCCGTGGAAAGGAGGAGCCGGATAAAATTATCTTTGTAGAGATGAAACGCCCATCTCAGTGCTCACTCTTTTAGGTATCTGTGTAGATATGTAGTGACTCATCTCCTGCATCAGCTTTACCTTCTTTGGAGTAATGGCTGAAAAGGTGCAGATGAGAGAGAAAGTAAAACGTTTTCATACTGTAACATGATTAATTCCGTGGAAAGGAGGAGCCGGATAAAATTATCTTTGTAGAGATGAAACGCCCATCTCAGTGCTCACTCTTTTAGGTATCTGTGTAGATATGTAGTTACTCATCTCCTGCATCAGCTTCACCTTCTTTGGAGTAATGGCTGCAAAGGTGCAGATGAGAGAGAAAGGAAAATGTTTTCATACTGTCACATGATTAATTGTGTGAAAAGGAGGAGCTGGATAAAATTCTGCTGAAAAGGTGTATCAGGTAGATGTAGTTCTATGTAAAAGTTAATCGTTATTTTCTTTTGATAGAAGGTTTTCTAAGATGTTTATTTAAATGGTCTCCACATTCAGTTTCATAATTTGAAATTGACTTATTGACGGTAAATGGGAAGTTGGACGGTTCTGCGATTGGACGCTTCATCCTATTGTTGGTCTCCTCCAACAATTCCACCTTTCGCTTCTGCTTCCTATTCTCCATGTCCAGCTGCTCCTTCTCCTCAATTAGCTGCTCCTTCTCTGCCTCCAACATCTGGATCCTTTCAGTTTTGACTTTCACCGCCTCCCGGAGCTCGTTGTTTTCTCGTTTCAGACCGGAAACAATCGACTGCAAGTGATTAACGGGAGACTAATAAAATAAGAAAGTATAGAACGAGTCGTTTTATTCAGTGAATCTGATGCAGCTGCTGAGCTCTGCCACCGCTCGTAATAGTTGTCAGCATCAGAAGAGTTTGACTAGTACCATATTCCACAATCTCCTCCTCATCAACATCTGTACCATCAACATCTGTACCATCTTCATTGAGAACGATTCAAGCCTTTGAAGAGCTTACCTTAGTCCATTATTATGTTGGCATGTAATTATGTTTATACCTTTTTTCTTTTTTCTTTGGTAGAAATTATGTTCATTAAGTGTTTTTTAATTGTTTATGGTATTTAGGCAGTAGTAACGTGTCACGTTTTAATAATTTTTAACTAAATGTTATGTAAGTTTTTTACAATGTATATATCCAATTCGTGTAACTCATGTGCAATTCAGTTGTGAAACTGCCATTCATGAAAGATGCAATAAAATACCATTTATCTATCTATCTATCTTACAAATGCCAGTTTCTCTTTGCCTACAGG